TTTTTTTTTTTTTTTTTTTTCTTTTTACTTTTCTTAAATTTTTTTTGGTTCCGACTGAGCTTCGACACACAGGCCACTCCTCAGCCTCTCTCCACCATCACCAACGATCATCTCGCAACCAGCTACCGCTGTGGCATTCAGCATACAAACATCACCAATCATGAGCGGCATTGGTGCGGTGCCTGCGTCGCGCTTCACACGGCCGCTGCCACACACGCCGCTCAACCACTTCCTGCGCCAGACCAAAGGGCTGCTCGCCTCGGGCGCGCTCGACAACGAGGATGCCGTCTACGTCGTCACGCCACGCACGCCGAGCTTCGACCAGGCGGTAGCAGCGATCGCGTTCGCATTCCTGCAGCAGCAGCTGGATCAGAGTGCGCATACGCAGCGCAGGTACGTGCCCGTCATCTCGGCCGCACGCAAGACGTGTCTCGACGACGAGCTGCCCGAGTTGGCACTGGCACTGCAGGCGGCACTGGTGGCCGCGGAGAATGTCGTCTTCGAGGACGATGAGGAGTATAGGACGGTGAATGCGTATGCGTCCAAAAAGCGTGTGGTGCTCGTGGGCGGCGCGGCGGAGATCAAGGGCAAGGAGGCGTGGAACGAGTGGCTGGAGCTGCACGGCGCACAGCTGTTTGGCGTCATCGATACGGACAATACGCTACCCACCGACATCCACGATGAAAAGGGCGGCGTCAACGAGCGTCTCAACGTGGCGCTCTTCCCTCCACAGGCAGTGCGGGGTAGTGGAGAGGCAGAACCCAGTCTCGCGTCGCTCGTGGCGCTGTGGGCAAAGCAACAGCTCGCCAATGCTTCCCGCGCCGACGAGGAGGTGCTGACGCGCGAGCTCGCCGACCTGCTCCTGGCTGCAGTGCTGCTCGAGACCGACAACCTCGCCGAGAGCAAGACGAACTCGGCCGACCTCGGAGCCGTCGGCTGGCTCAACCCGCGCTCGTCGTTCCAGCTGCAGAACCAGGACGACGCCACCGTGGCCCCGGAAGCTCAGGAAGAGTCGGGGCTCAACGACGACGAGGCCAACACGCCCAACTTTGACGCATACGTGCCGACGTTCCCAGACCTCGATGCGCTGTACCGCGCGCTGCGCGCCGCATCCCGCACGCCCGTCAAGCTTGCGGGCCTTGCACCTGCCGCTGCGGCCGCCATGGACGATGGCGCGACGCCAGACCACTACGAGTGGAACCTCATCACCAACACGCTGGCGAACCTCGACGAGGCGCAAAAGGCCGCCGTGCCCAGCATGGTCCAGCAGACCATCAAGGGTGACTTTGCCGCCGTGCTCACTTCGGCCGTGGGCACGAAGCTGCTGCGACCCATCGGCGACAAGCTCGGACAGGCGCTCAGCAGCGGTGCGGGCAGCCTGGACCTGGCGGCGCTGCAGAAGGATGTCGACCAGGCCGTCGGCGAGGTGGTCTCGGCGGGCGCAGATGGGTTCGAGGCACTGTGCGTGGCGATCAGCGCGCTGCATGCGTTTGTGCAGATCAACTGGACGGGGCCCGAGCTGCCGCAGTCGCTCGAGCCTCTGGCGCTGCTGCGCTCGACGGCGCCCGATGCCTTTCCGCCGCGCCCGCTCGATGCAGATGCGGAAGAAAAGGCCAACAAGGCCGCCGAGGGTCTGCTGCACCGAGCATCGCTCGAGGCACTTGCATTCAAGGGCGAGCCGGCGTACCACCTGTGCCGCGTGCCGGTCTTCCTCGTGCTGGCCAAGCTGCTCATCGAGGCGCTGTTCGTGTCGGCTGACATGGAGACGGTGGCGTGGTGGAGGCTGCGCGCATACACCGTGCACAGCCACGTACTCGACGAGCCCGTGGCGTTTGGCAAAAAGGTGTTTGAGCCGGTCAACAAGCTGCGCGACGTGCTGGCTGCGCGTGCTGCCGCCACCAAGCCCGCGACGGGAGAGGCCAAGAGCAAGTGGGCGGCGCTGTCGGCGAGGTTGATCCTGGAGCGCGGCGTGGCGCTGCAGAGAATCGGAAGCGACCGCGAGGCGGCCGAGACGTTCGTCGAGGCGGCGAGACAGAACGGACTGGTGTACAGGATGTCCGGTGCGCTCGGCAAGAGGACCAAGTTTCAGAAGGAGGACAAGACGCAGCTCATCCTCCTCGCCAAGAGCGTCGTCGCCGACGGCGGTAAAGAGGACGAAGAGGCCGACGCCCAGGCAATGACCGGGGAGCGCCAGGAGGGCGAGAAGGAAGAGCCGCTGGAGACCGGATTTGCAGCCAAGGCGAATCCGGAAGACCAGGTGGCGGGCATGCCGTCGACATTCGCGCTCAACGACGACACGCTGCTGGAGCAGACCAAGTTCACCACGACCACCGCCTATGCAGCAGGCTCGGACGAGTTGGGCTTTTTGGATCCGAACGCGCAGCCAGCGCTGGCGGTGCTGGATCAGTGTACGCTGTTGGCGCTGTGTCTCAACATCCGCAACACGCAGGCGGCGCACGGCTTGACGGCGAACCAGATGGGCATCTTTATCGCGCGCGTCGTGTCGCACGCGCGCAACTGGACGGTGCACACCATGTCGCTGCTGCTGCGTGCGCGGCTCGAGTCGACGCGCACGCGCACGGTGGAGCGATCGGTGCTGCAGCTGCAGGCGCTCATCGACCAGATGCCCACCAACGACTCGAGCCTGCAGGAGCGGCTCAAGTTCTTCCACGCGCTCGATCTGCCGCCCAAATGGGAGATGCAGGCAGAGCTCGCACGGCGTTACGCTAGCATCGGCGTGACGCGCTCGGCACTCGAGATCTTTGAGCGCGTCGAGATGTGGGAGGAGGTGGTGCAGTGTCTGGGCATGCTTGGGCGGCAGCAGGAGGGCGTGGATGTGGTGCGTGCCCTGCTGGACGGGACCAAGGTCGAGGCGGATGTCGAGGTGTCCGCACGACGACGCCAGGCAGTCGGGGCCAAGAGCGAGGCCCAAGCGGTCATGTTTACACGCCTCGACCGCGCGCGCGAGGCCAAACTGTGGTGTCTGCTCGGCGACCTCGAACCGGACGCGGCGCTGGCGCACTACAGCCAAGCATGGCGCGTCTCGGCGTCCTCCTCCGCCCGAGCGGCACGCAGTCTGGCCGGCGTCCACTTTACCCAGCAGGACTTCGCACAGGCTGCCAAGTGGCTCAAGCTCGCACTCAAGATCAATCCGCTCTATACGCGGTCGTGGTTCATCCTGGGATGCTGCTACATGCGGCTGGAAAAGTGGAAGGAGGGTGCGCAGTGTTTCCGGCGCTGCACGGCGCTCGACGACGAGGATATGGAGAGCTGGAACAATCTCGCCAGCTGCTACCTGCGGATGGTCGAAGGGGCGGCTGCGGCGAGCGAGGCCGTGGACATCGAGCGCATGGGCATGCAGGGTGGGCTGCCGGACATTCTCGAGGCCGAGGAAGAGGCCGAGAGGGTTTGGGACGCCGGTGCGCGCAGTGACGACGACGAGGGGCTGAGCGAGTGGAGCGGCAGCTCGCGCTCCGACTCGGGCGTCGAGGTGTCGAGCGAGTCCGAGGCCGAGAGCGAGGCGGGGACCGAGGTGGGCACCGAGACGGGCACCGAGACGGGGCTTCGCGATCCGGGCGAACCGGGCGCAGCGAGGGCACGACGCGCGAATGCAACCACGGCGTACTCGCTCAAGCTGCTGGCGCACCGGTCGCTGCAGCAGTCGCTGCGGTTTGCGCACGACAATTGGCGCGTGTGGTTCAACTACATGATCGTCTGCATCGACGTGGGCTACCTTTTGGAAGCGACGCGGGCGATGCAGCGCGTCGTCGAGATCCAAACGCGCAGCAAGACGAGCGATGCGGAGCGCGCCAAGACCGTCGACCTTGCCGTCCTTTCGCGGCTGGTGGACGCGGTGACTCGCCTGCCGAAAGCCGAGCTCGAGGCGGAGATGGTGGCTGCCACGGAGGTGTACGAAGCGGCTACTGCGCAGTACCGTGCTGATTCGGGGGTCGCCGCACCGGTCCAGCCGAAGCTCGACGTGAACTCAGGCTTGGGGCTGTATGCGCCGGTGCGGCGGCTGTTTGACGAGACGCTGCTGGCGACGATTTCGACGAGCGCGGGCATCTGGAAGCTGTATGCGCGGCTGCTCACGTGGAACGGCGAACGCACGCGTGCGGTCCAACACGCGCTGCTCAACTCGTACACGGCCGCATTCGACCAAGCCGTAGCGGGGGATCTGGCGTCGGACAAGCAGACGTTTGTCGGTGTGCTGCACGATCTGCGCAACCTGGTGGATGCGCTTCTGGAGCTGGCGGACAACGAGACGGGCGACCCGGATGCACCCAAACCGAGGTTCCAGGCACGCAGCCTGGTCAGGACGTTCCTCGCCAAGACGCGCGATGCGTGGGACGCCGAACCCGAGTACGATGAGGCCAAGCAGCTGCTCGAGGAGCTCAAGAGCTGAATCCACAGCGCGGAAGTGGATATACGAAATGTGCATGACGATCAGCATCTACATGAAGTACGTGTGTGGGGGTTTTTAGAGGAGGAAGCAGATGCTGCTGAGTAGGACTACGCCGAGTGCGGCGGTGGGGACGATAAGGTGCGACTGCATGGGTGCGTTTGCCATGCCAGCATTGGGTGTGCTCGAAGTAGTGGTCGTCGGCGCCACGCTCGAGGTTGATGCGGAGGAGGACGAAGTTGCCGACGATGTAGCCGACGAGGTGGGGGAGGAGGAGGATGTTGCGGAGGATGTAGAGGAGGAGGTGGATGAAGTGGCGGTGTTCACCGAGCTGATGGAGAACGAGATGAGCGTGCCGAGCGTTGCCGCTGCGTCGGTGGTTCGCGATGAAGAGGTGGCGGTGGTGGAGGAAGCCGAGGTGGAGCGCGAGGCGGTCGTGCTGGCTGAAGTCGAGGGCGATGAGGAGGACTGGGCCGAGACGAGTGCGAGCAGCAGCGCCATGCACAGCAGTGTAGACGAAAGGGCGGAAGTGCGAACCATGGCGGAGATGGATGCACAAGTATGAAGGTGGGTCGAGGACGGATGCAACGTCGCACCGAAGCCAAGGATGCAGTCTTGGCCGTTTTTTGGCCGGCTTCGACATGCCGGAAGGAGACGTCACCGTGCGGACAATTTTTTTCTGGATGTGCAGTGTTTCGACCTCACACGAATGAAATTGTGCCGCGCGAGAAGTGGCGGCGACTTGACCGATGCCCGACGTTTGCGCCGTGCCGAGAAAAGGTACAGCCGAGCAGAAGAGGACGTCGCCTGATTGGATTGGATTTTCGTGATTGGAGCTGCGACACTTTGCGTGCTTGGCAGAGGGCAGCAGAGCGGAGCAGAGCGCAGCGCCAACTCCAAAAAAGACGGCGCAGCGCAGATCACGGGCGCTCTTCTTCTCGCTCGCCTGCGCTGCCTTGCGCTGCGCTGCGCCCGGACCGCCGTGCAAAAGCTCCCTTTATTCCTCGACCACCCCCGCACTGACGGCTGGCTCGCCTTTCTTTCTCCATCCATTTCCATACGCTCGGTCGGGCTCGGTGCAAAGCCAAGTCGCTCTGCAAGCACTCTCGTTCCCACCCGACACGCGCGGCTTCATTTACACCCTCCATCCACGTCACGACCAGCCAAGACCCACACCCGCCCACGTAGCCACGCACGTGCCCACACGCCATCTCCAGCCTCGCTGCGCGCGCGAGCAGCTTCTTCCTTTCTTTCCTCCCGCTTCCGACTTTCGTATACGCTCGTTCCAGCGGTCATGGACTCGGCCAAGATCTTTGCGCTTGGCCTTGCCGCCGGCCTGGCAATCCACGTGTTCGTGCGCAACGGAGCACGCAAGGGCGCCAAACACGCACAGCAAGCTGCGGCCCCACCATCGCCATCCATAGCATCCAAGCCGGCCAAGAAAAACAAGAACAAGAAGAACAAGAACAAGGACAGCCCCACGCCTCCATCCACCGAGGCCGTCGCTGCGCCCGCTGCACACGCACCCGCGCCCGCGCCAGAGCCCGTTGCCAAGCCGGTCGAGTCCGCGCCCGCCGCGACCACATCCAAAAAGAACAAGAAGAACAAGAAGCAGCACCCGCAGCCAAACGCACAAGCAACCACACCCGCCGAGAGCTATGCCGAGGTGGCCGCAGCTGACGACGCAGCGCCGGCCAAGGAGGCCGTGAGCAACGATGCCATCAGCAACGACGCCGTGCGCGCCAGGTCGGATGCGGCGCAGGCGGCGTTGGTAGCTTCGCTCGGCGACATGCGCGATGCCGACGTGGACGAGCTTCCCGCCGGCTACTCTTCTGTCGCGCGCATCCCCGCTTCCGAGCCCGCCGCCACCCACCGCATCTCGCGCAAGGACCAGGACGACGGCTGGTCCTCGGTGGGCGGCACCTTCCCCTCGTCCTCCAGAGCCTCTGCGTCATCCGCCAAGCCCAACGGCACGGCCACGCACACGTCGTTCGCATCCACCAATCCGTTTGCTGCGCTGCCAGACGACGCGCCCACGGCGAGCGTCAAGCGTCTTCCCTCCAAGCCCTCGGCTCCCTCGGGTGGTGGATGGACTGTTGCCGCTCCGGGCCCGGTCAAGACGCGTGCCAACGGCGCCGCGAGCGTGGTGGGCGCAGGCGGCGAGACCAAGAAACAGCGCTCGAACGCCAACAAGGCGGCGGCCAAGAAGGCGGCCAAGGAGGATGCGGAGCGGCTGCAGGCCGAGCGGCTCGCCAACCACCGCCGACAGCAGGCGCTTGAGGCTGCACAGCAGCGAGACGCCGCTCGTCGACCCGCTCCGCACTCGGTGAGCGCAAAGACGCCCACGGCCAAGGCGAGCGTCGACCTCAATGGCCGTCTGGTCTGGGACTGACACTCACATACAGCATGAGCAATGCAGTCTATTCGTAAAACACGGGTGCGGCCGTGGGCTATGGGGGACAGGTGACGAGCAGTTGGTGGATCGCAAACACCTCCGTCACGGGTGAGGTGCGCAGCAGCGCGAGTGCCGAATCGAGGTGATCTAGATCCACGTGTCCCGTAAAGTGTCGCTGCGGTGTGAGAGAAACACCTTGATCGCGAGCTAGATGTTGCAGTGGGGCGACGAACCAGCTGGGCGTGTAGATGGCTGTCTGTCCACAACCTTGCTTGGCTATCTGGAGCAGATGTTGTGGAGAGGTGGACGAGTCGAATCCCCTGACGTCCTTGTGGGGGGTCAGGTGGGTGGGGACGGGAAAGGTGCGAAACACCAGGTGCGTCTTGAGGCTCGTCTCCTTCTCGATGGCAAACAGTGTGGGCAGGAGGCCACCCTGGTGGAGGAAGGAGAAGAGGACCATCTGGAGCAGGTGCTGTGCGACGTGGAGTGTCACCAGCCATCGTACGAGGCGCGGACGGGTGCGGAAAAAGCGCGATCCTAGCGCGTGCGCCATAACCATCGCCGAGGGGAATGCGAGTGCAAGTAGAAATCGCGGCTCTTGGTGCGGCGATACACTCAGCACGCACAGCGCTACCACCACGATGCACAGCGATACCCCTGTCGCCTCCCCATCCCGCGTCGAACTGGGAGCGTTGCACCCTTGTCTTGCGAGCCAGCCGCGAAAGGTGTTGGTGGCGTGAATGAGTAGCACAGCAACGTTGGCCACGCCGACCATGATGGGCAGGTTGACGCAGAGGTGCAGCCAGCGTGGATGCAGACCGTGCTGCGCGACATTGTCCGTCTGCGCGTTGTACGCCAGTGCGTTGAGCGGCGCCACTACCGCTTCCATTCCACGCCACCGCACGCTCGCCACTTCAGCAACCCCCGCTCGAGTGTAGAAATGCGTGTCGATGCCGAGGTATACGGCCGTAGTTGCCACGCCGCTCCCTGCTGCCAACGCCAGCCACCCCGCCACCTTGCCCGCGTAGCCCTTTCGAGCCAATTCGACCAATTGCACCAGGAATAGGGCGAGTACGGGCGCTGCAAAGGCGACGTACGTGAACCTGGTGAATACGCCCACTGCCGTCATGACCGGCAGCACCGGCACTGTCCACTTCCACACGCCTCCTCGATACCACGAATCATCGCGCACAAACGCAAGCACGGACACCAGGCTGAGCGCGAGCAGCACTGCCTCGGTCGAGTTGCTGAACGGCCTCACCATGAACGTCGTAGCTGCACTCGAGACGCCGTACAGACACAGCAGCCTGCGCGCCAGTCCTGGCTCCAACGTCGCCACCACCGCCGCATCCACCACGAGCGTCCACACCACCATCGCTGCGCGCTGCGCCACGAACCTCCCCCACCCCCCATCGCTCGTCAACAGCGACAGTGCGGGCACCGCAGCGTACTGCGTACGAAGCGCGGCGGGGGAGCGTAGCGCATGTCGAGGCTGCCATTCCCACGGCAGCGACGCCGCGCCAAAGTAGGCTTCGCCCGACTGCATCCATTCGTCCGGATGGATGTAGGCGTATCCGAACAACGCGCTGATGCAGCGCAGCACCACCAGCGCCCAGTAGAGCAGTCCGAGCCGGCTGCGCGGGTCGATCGCCCTGAGTGCGCGCATCGTCGTCACGCCACACGCCACCATGCCCGCGCGTAGATGGTGGCCAAGGCGTCAGAAAATCGCAAAAAGCAGCGCCGACAAGAAGGTGTTGGTTGCAGCGCCAGAAAGCGGCGCGTGCGGACGCAGCCGCCAATTTACGCGTCGACGCGCCGCCGCCCGCTCGACTCAGCCCCAACTCTCCACCCGCGTCTGTTCCTCTTCCCACCTCCGTCTCTGCACTGCACAGCCATGGACGAGCAAGATCCCGGACTGCACTTCTTTCCCGACGGCAATGTCGACCTGTACGGCACGCTCGCCGTCGACAAGGACGCCACACAGGACCAGATCAAAAAGGCCTACAAAAAGTACGTCCCCCTTATCCCCTCTTCTCTGCATCATTCCCTCGCTGACGTTTTTCCTTTGCCTTGGCTGTTGTGCTTAGGCTGGCGCTGAAATTCCACCCGGACAAGGTGCTCTCGTCGGCGTCGTCGGGCGGCGCCGAGGATGCGATCCAGCAGTTCCAAAAGATCGGCTTCGCATATGCCGTGCTCTCGGACGAGGTGCGTCGGCGCAAGTTTGACAACACCGGCTCCACCGCCGAGCTCATGTTTGGCGAGGGCGATGCGGATTTCGACTGGAACGACTACTTTAAGCAGCTCTGGACCGGCGAGGTCTCGCGCCAGACGCTCGACGACTTTAAGCGCAAGTACCAAAACTCGTCCGACGAGAAGGACGACATTCTCGAAGCGTACAACGACACCAACGGCGACCTTGCCGGCATCTTTGACCACGTCCCCTGCTGCGAGTTCGTTGCGGACGAGGCGCGCTTCATCGCGCTCATCGACGATGCCATTGCCGCCGGCGAGCTCAAGGCGACGCCCGCGTGGAAGCGCAGCAAGAGCGCCGACGGCCGCAAGGCGCTCCGTGCCAAGGCGCAGGGCGAGGCGGCCGAGGCCGAGAAGCTCGCCAAGGAACTCGGCGTGTGGGACGACCTCTTTGGCGACGGCAAGGCCAAGGCCAGCTCCACCAAAGCAGCCGGCAAGGACACCAAGACCAAGGCGGCGCGTGGAAAGGCCAAGCCGAGCAACGACGAGGAGGACGACCTCGGCGGCCTCGCGGCGCTCATCCAGCGCAAGAGTCAGAACCGCGCGTCCAAGTTTGACGACATGATCGCCAAGCTCGAGGCCAAGGCGGGCGTCAAGGAGAAGCGCCCCACCGACGAAGAGTTTGACCGCATCCAGGCCGAGATGCTCGCGCGCAAGAACGGCGGCGCTGCCAACAAGGAGAACAAGAAGCGCACCGCTGCATCCTCAGCCTCGACAGCAGCAGCAGCCGGCACAGCGTCCAAGAAGAAGGCCAAGAAGTGACGTGGGTGTGGTTTGGCCGTGCAATGTCATTGTATTTGTAACCTGCTGCTTCTCTATGCGGTTCGGCTCGGACCAAGAAAGCGAGGTGCCAGATTTCCCGAACCAGAATTTGTTAGATCTGGCCTTCCAGGGGAGATTACGTATGAATGCGGTAAGCTGGTGGGTTGGGCCGCACGTGACGCGCCTTTGTGAGCTGGGAAGAACCGGATTTTTTCCCAGCCAATCCTCGGCCAGGCGGCGGCGGCTCTGGCGCTGGGACTGTCAAGCAGCGAGGCGATCACATCATCCCAACCTTCACCCTTCACTCCGTCTACGCCGCAGCGAAACAACACTACAAGCATGGTCGGCGCTGCATTTGGGCGCGCCACGCTGCAGGCTGTGGCGCGCGCGACCACCGCGTCCAGCTCGTCACTCGGATTCACGCCGTCATCGTCTTCGCGCATCACAGCGGCGCTGCAGGCGTCGGCACGTAGCTCGTCGCTTGGCCAACGATATCTGCACGCAGTGTCGTCCACGACACAGGTAGCCACCACCCCGCCCGTGGCGGTCAAGATTGCGACGACGACGGCGCAGCGCACGCGCAAGGAGCGTCGTACGGCGATGAAGGAGCAGCGCAAGGCGGCGAAGCGCAAGATCGCCGAGTCGAGCGTGTCGGCGCGGCTGGGCGTGTCGACGACGACGACGTCGCCGTTCGTGCGCAAGGACCGACAGTTCAAGACGTTCAAGCCCATCACGCGCTCCATCCGCTGGCTGAGGCAGCCGCTCAACGAGCATCTGCACTCGGGCAAGCCCGAGCGCTCGCTCACCATCGCCAAGCGCTCCACCGCCGGTCGCAACCACCACGGCCACGTCACCGTGCGCGGCCGCGGCGGTGGACACAAGCGCCGCATCCGCCTCGTCGACTTTTACCGCTGGGAGAGCGGCGAGCAGGAGGTACTGCGCATCGAGTACGATCCCGGCCGAAGCGCGCACATTGCGTTGATCGAACACAAGCAGACGAAGCGCAAGAGCTACATCCTTGCGCCCGATGGTTTGCGAGCGGGAGATACCGTGCAGAGCTACCGTCTGAGTGGCGCGAATGAGGCCACCTCGCGCGCCACCATTATCACCGACGAAGAGGTGTCGGCGGATGGCACCCCGCTCTCCACCGACGCGCTCTCCACCGACCCGGCTGCACCACAGACGGCTGTGGAGCCATCGGCAGCATCAACCGATTCGGGCGCCGGCGCAAGTTCGTCGCTCGACCTCGGCATTTTCCGCACGCAGGCGATTCGACCGGGCAACTTCCTCCCGCTCCACCTGATCCCCATCGGCACAACCATCCACTCGATCACGATGAACCCGCAGGGGCCTGCCAAGATGGTGCGCTCCGCGGGAACATTCGGGCAGCTCGTTGCGTTTTCCGCACGCAGCGGGGCGGGAGAGTCGCATGCGCAGGTTCGACTGCAGAGTGGCGAGGTGCGTCTGATCCCTTCGCGGTGCTGTGCGGCGATTGGCACGGTGAGCAACAAGGACCACCAGCACCGAAGGCTCGGCAAGGCGGGTAGGAGCAGGTGGCTGGGCCGACGACCCAAGGTGCGCGGTGTGGCGATGAACGCCTGCGACCACCCGCACGGCGGTGGACGCGGTAAGAGCAAGAGTAACATGCATCCGCGCTCCATCTACGGCCATCTCACCAAGGGCGCACGTACGCGCAAGCCGGGCACGCGCAGCGGCAACCAGATGGTGGTGCGCGAGCGTCCGCGCAGGAACGGAAAGCGTCTCGGCAAGCCCTAGTCTACTCAGCCGCTGCCCGACCAATGCAATACGATTCCAGTGTCTCCTCTCGACAAGATCGAGTGCGTGAGTATGGGCGAGAGAAGAGGAAGGGAATGGGAAGATGAGATCGGGGGACTTGGGATCGGGCTGTGTTTTCCGGACGATGAGAGGCGGGTTCGGCGACACGGGAAGCACGAGATGTTGGTCGGAACGCGGCGGAGAAGTGTTGCCGATCGGAGGCCATTCCGGTCCTGGCCCTCGATGGCCGCTTGCGAGGGGGACGGAGAGCGAATTGTGGAAGAAGACTTTTTTTTTAATTCGCCATGACAGCGCGGAGTTTGAGCGGCGGCAGATGCAGCGTGCAGCGAGCAGCGAGCAGGGAAACAAGCGACGTGCATCGCCAGCAGCACGATTTTGAGAGTGCTTTTACCCGCCCTCAGCTGTACAGCCGTGCAGCTGTGCAAGAGCTCGGACTGCCCCTTCCAAGGCAGAAGAGGAACCGTGTGTCGAGCTCCGGCAAGGAAGGGGGTCAAAGGGGGGCAAGCGGCATTCTTGAGCCAGCCGAGGCATTGCGGATTCGCGGAAGCGCTTTTTTTAGAGCGCCATTTGGCCAGCACATCAACACGCGCTGCCAAACACGCTGAAACATGCACGTCGACAAGGTGGCAGATGCATCGCTAGAATCCACACTTCCACCGCAGCATGCGACGCCATGCAGGCCATGCACGCCTTCCACACCAGAAGGTAGGCGTGCGTGTGGCCACACAGCATGGACGCCGTCCTCCCCCCTTGACCCGGGGGCAACAAGCACACGAGCCCGCCGCAAACGCCCCCTCCCGCAAGCATGATTCCTGCAGCTGCATCTCGCAAAGCACCGCAAAGCACCGCAGATCCTTCTGCTGCACGCTTCCCCATACAATCCCACCCGCCCCCTTGCTGCACGACCATTGGTGCACGCCACTGTACATCCGCTAGCCGGGTTCCTGCTGCATCTCATTACTGCCTGCGTGTGCGTGTGTGTGTGTGCGCTTTGCCCTTTGGCCCCCTCCCCCCTGCCAAGCCCCTTCAGATCCCCCCCTTTGAAGCTCTATACGCCACACACACGTCTTTGCGCATCACCATCCACACCACCGTCTCGAAAGCACTCGCCGTCTTCTCGACGTCTCCAAGATCGCCCTTCTAGGCGCAACGTGAGCGGCATGCGAGTCTAGCGCACCTGCGACTCTATCCGTTTGCATATATCGACACCATGGTGGTGGCTCTGCGCGAACAGGCGCCCAAAAAGTCGCGCCTCTCGCTGTTTCGTCTGGGCAAGGCGACCAAGTCCGCCGCGCCATCGCGTCAAGACGCCTCTACGCCGCGCTCGTACCCGGACGCATCCTCGATCCCACGCAACTCCCAGGGCGACGGTGCGCGTTTGGCACGTCAGACTGCAAGCCAAGGTGCGGCACCCGTGATTGCTGTGCACTACCAGTACCCAACGTCGACCAACCTACCAGGCGGGTACGACTGGCCTGCTACGATCGAGAGTGATGTGGACGATCGCCGACGCACGCGAGCTGACTCGCTGCCGATGCAGACCATGTTTGCGGACCGAGAGGCGCGCGCGGGTAAGCACTCGCGCCAACGATCGCACTTTAGCATCCCGGATGTCATTGTGACGTCGTGCGATGATGACGAGCAGCACGTGGTCGAGGTGCATGTGCCGCCCAACAAACGACGCAGCTATGTTCTGCGCGACACCGATGCTTCCCCGCGCAGCAAGCCCAGCAAGCCCAGTGACCCGCACCCGCGCCGACCAGAACCACTCATCCGCTTCGACTCGGACGAGATGCGTGGTATGACGCGCACCTCCTCCGTGTCTAGCCTCACCTCGCCTGTCGCCGAAAGCAATGCGTCGACACCTACGTCGTCAGCGAGCTCGAGTTTGTCCAAGGGGTCGGGAAAACGCATGCGCAAGGCATCCTTCCCGTCGCTCTTCAGTCGCAAGAGCCTCGATTCGTCGCGCGTCGAAGAGCCGATGCCCATCAGCCCCGTCACACCCAGCTCCGCACCCGCTGCACCCGGTGCGTTTGATCGACGTCAACCCGACGGTCTGCTTTTCTCGGCCCACTCGGGTGCCACTCCGGGTGCCACTCCGTTGCCCTCTCCACCTGCAACGCCTACATCGCCCGTGCAAAAGCTGAGCAAGAAGGAGCTCAAGGCGCGGCAGAAGCACGAACTCGCGCTCATTCGTGAAGTCGAGCGTGTCGACAGACTCGTCAAGCAACACGATTCAAAGGCACGCAAGGCGCAGGAGAAACACGAGGCGAAGCAGCGCAAGCGACAGGAGAAACTCGCAACTGCAAATGCAGAGTTCCACCCCGCACCCTCCGCACCTTCGGTAGCTGCGGGTAGGACGATCTTCCAGGCAGCAACGCGAGTGACGCCTGGGTTGGGGCGGAGGAGCAGCACGCGAGGGTTTGCAGGTGAGAGACGTGGGTCGGAACCCACGATCCCCTCGGCGAGCGTAGAGCCACGCGCTGCAGCGACACCGTTTAGCATCGACTTGCCCTCGGCTGCGAGGATGCCCTTCGCCGAGCCTAGGACTGCACCCAAGCCAGCATTCGCACCTGCGTACAAGCCGATCAAGGCGCCGCTGGGCACAATGCCGACGGGACAGAGTGTTTCGCCCCCCAGGCCCCTGCGTCCTGCACCACCCCCGCCTCAAGATGAGCCGCGACACCAACTGGCGAGCTGGGACGATCTGTCATTTGCTGCCCCGCTGCCGAGCTTGATCCCGGCTTCCACCGAGATCAACAGCGCAGCTGGAGAGGAGGCGGACAGTGTGGTGGAGCTCGACGAGGCGGCGCGGCGTGCGCGGCGCGCGAGCGTACAGCGCGTGCTGGCGCTCTCCGACGAGGGCGGCCGGCTGCACAAGCGCGGTTCGCTGCGCAAGCGCACCTCAATCCAGACACTCAAGCGACGCTCCGAGGACGACTTTGTGAAGATGGACAAGCGCAGTGGCCTCATCCCGCGCGTGGGTGCCGACGAGGGCTGGATCCTCCAAGACGCCGCTGCCGACGATAGCACCGCGGTCCAGGTGGATGCACGCGAGTGGATCGAAGACGACCCTGACTCGCACAGTCTGCTTCAGCAGCAAGGCGAGGTCGACCGGGTCTTGGCGGACCTCCATGCTGCCCAGGAGGATCATTTGCGCCGACGAGAAGCGACAACCCGAGTGGCAGATTCGCCTCCAAGGCCCGCGAGGTCGACACGCAGACAGGAACCGCGCAGCGAGTCGATCGACTCGTCCGACTCGTCGGGCACTGCCATCACCACTGAAAGCGCGTCCAAAGACGTCGTCTGCTTCTCCAGACCCTTTTCACCACAACCAGCCCTCGAGACCGACAGCTCGCACGACAAGGCGTTTACACTCGAACTCGCCCTGTCGCCTCTCCAGCCCTTGGACATCTTTACTACAGACGCGCATGTTTAGTTCATGCTCAGCTAGCCACCTTTTTATACCCGCATTCGTTATATCATCTGCTTGACACTCTCATGCGACACTCATTGTGAGGTATCGTGCCACACAGTGTACATATGTGCGAGACCGACGCACTTGCAATCGGATCGGGGGTGAGCGCCCTTTCAAGCAGCCACCTCCCCCTTCTGCGCGTGTTCAATGGGCACGAGGCAGACGCCGTCCACCCACCCAATGGGATGCGGCTCACAACTTGACCCGTCACAACACACACTCGCAGTATAGACTCTGATAACGACTTGATTGCAGATAGTGCGGGTTTCTAGAGGTTGCCTCTCCTGAGCGCATCGAGTTTGTTGCGCATGGCACCTGCGCTGGAATCGATCCACTTCAAGCTGCCCAGATGGGCGTTGAGAATGGCGACGATCTGGGCGATGCTGCCATCCCTCTCTGCATCCGCCTGATCCTTCCCAGCGCTGGTCGCGTTCAACTCGGTAATCATGGCCGACAGATTCTTGGCCACATCGTCCAGATGAGAATTGAGGGTCTCGGCAAGCTGATACGACCTCTCCCTCTCCACATCCGCCGAGGTCAGGTTCAGGCCCTGGCCACCATTGCCCGTGATGCCAGGAAGCAGGCTGTCGATCTGCGACTCGTACTCGCCCACAAGGTACGAGAGATCGTTCTGAGAAGACTCGAGATAGTCGAGCGTACGGTCCACCGAAGCCTGCTTTTCTTCCGCCGCAGAAAGTGCACTGAGCAGAGACGCGATCTCATCTCCGCCCTTGAGGAGAACCTTGTCCCACGCGGCCACTTCGGCTGCTTGGCGTGAGAATTCCTTGACAGACGTGTCGAGTTCGCTCGTCCAGCGGTTCAGAATGTCGTCCATGGATTTGCCCCGCAGCAGAGACGGTGTAGGAACCGCCCCGACACTTGCACCCGCAGCCGGAGCCGCGCCAGCAGCAGGAGCGGCAGTGGCCGCAGTGGGTGCCGTCTCACCGGGCTTGGATGTGGTGGTCGCAGCAGCCGTGGGGGCGCCACCGAATGAAAATCCACCGGCTGCGGGCTTGGCAGCAGGAGCGGCCGAGGCAGCTGGCGCCGCAGGTGCCGACGTGGTGGCTGCAGCAGAAGCCGCGGGCTTTCCAAACGAGAAGCCGCCCGTAGCAGCAGGCGCAGCTGGTGCTGCAGCGGGTGCCGCAGCCGACGTGGTCGCCGGTGCAGCGGTGGTTGCAGGAGCAGCAGGCTTGCCGAACGAGAATCCGCCCGTAGCTGCGGGCGCAGGCGCGGGTGCGGCCGTCTTGGCCTCTGCGCCCGATGAGGCAGCCGGCGTGGATGTCGGGGTAGCCGCCGCGTTGCCGAACGAGAAGCCGCCAAGCGCGGGTTTCGCCGGTGCCGGCGCTGCCGCCGAGGTAGCGGGCGCGCTGGAAGCTGGTGTGGCGCTACCGAAGGAGAAGCCGCCGGTGGAGGCTGCGGGCGCAGGAGCCGCTGCAGCAGGCGCAGAGGCGGGAGTGGACGAGGCGCCGCCGAACGAGAAGCCGCCGGTAGTGGCTGGCTTGGAAGCGCCGAACAGCGAGCCGCCGCTGGATGGTGCGGCCGCGGGCGCAGGCGTAGTGGAGGCGGCGCTGCTCGCAGGCGCAGTGGAGCCGCCAAGCTTGAAGGATCCGAAGCCGCTCAGACCGCTGCTGCCGCTCGCGGGGGTGCTAGAGGTTGCACCAGCCGCTCCTGGAGCAGGTGCGGCTGGAGTCGAGCCGAAGGAGAAGCCTCCCGTTGCTGGCGCTGCGGGCTTTGCAGCTGTGGACGAGGCGTTACCGAACGAGAATCCGCCCGCAGCAGGTGCCGATGTCGTACCAGCCGCGCCTTCGGCAGGCTTGGCTGCACCACCAAAGCTGAAGCCGCCAGTCGAAGAAGGTGCGGATGCAGCAGGTGCTGCGGTCGAGGCAGGAGTCGATGTCGCGCCGCCGAACGAGAAGCCGCCCGAAGCTGGCGCAGCGGGCTTGGCGGCGCCTCCAAACGAAAACCCTCCCGTAGACGATCCCGCGTTGCTCGAGCCGAACAGTCCTCCTCCAGTAGTACCACCCGTAGACGTGTTGCCGAACGAGAACGGCTTGTTGGCGGGTGCACCTCCTGCTGCTGGAGCGGCGCTGGTGTTATTGTTGGCGTTGTTGGTGTTTGAGGCGCCGAACGAGAAGCCGCCTCCGCCGAACGACATGGTTGCTGTGTAGGCTCAGGCGAGCGTTGCGTTGTGATCGTACGTGACGTGCTGTCGCGTGTGAAGCTGCCAGAGTCGAGCGAGGCAAGCTGATTACGCTGTTGGTGTTGGTATTGGTGGTCGAATGAGAAGTTGGGCGGCTGTTGCGACGCGAAGACCTTCACGACCCGCTCGACGACAAAAGGCGCGGATGATTCAGGATTACGTGATCCAAATTTGCCTTCCCACCGCGCTGCGAATTTTTGGAAGCTCAGCTGCTGCCCTTCAAGTTTTCCTGCCTTTGTGGAGCGGCGCTGCGTCCAGAAGACCTTCTTCTCATCACCACACCACTCTCTTACAGCAGCGCTCGCCATACTACCAACATGCCGCCAAAAGGCTCGCTCGCCTCTTTGCTAGGCACGCTCACCAACGCAGCTCCCGCCGAGTTCGACCCAGAAGCACTCGATGCAGACCAGCCTGGAACCTCGACCTTTGCCAATGGCAACTCTGATTCCGCATCGGACGACGATGACGAGGATGACGAAGAGGATGACGATGCGGAAGAAGAGGACCACATGAATCCACGAGCACACTACGCAGACGTCGGCCCCAGCGAGCTGCGCAAGAAGGCCGCGCTGAGCGAGAGCGACAAGATCAACGACCCGCGCTACCACGGCGTCAAGACCACCCGCGCCGAGCTCTATGCAGGCGATGACGACGAGGAGGATGAAGAAGATGAAGACGAGGACGAGGACATTGAGAGCTTGTCGCAGGGATCTTCAGATAGCGAGGATGATGACGACAGCCTGGACGAGGACGGAGACGAGGACGACGGAGAAGCGGCTCCAACATCTCAGCCCAAAGAGAAGAAGAAGCTGCGGTTCGCGGAAGAGCCCAGCTCGCGCTCGGCCAACCGCGACTCGGACGATGGCGCCGATGCTGGTGCGTCTGGATCGACCAGCATTGCGGCGCAGATGGCGCAGTCGGCGTCGCAAGCGCGTGCGCTGCGGGCACGCCGCGTGGAAGATGCCGAGAAAGGGCGTCAGGTTCGCAAGCAGGTCAAAGCATACGAGCGCGCGCTCGAAGCGCGGATCAAGGCGCAGAACGTTCTGCGCGACGTCAACCGCCTTCCGGACCCCTCGCCTTACTCGGCGGCCATGTGTTCGAGCTCCACCGCCATGGAACCGGCGATTCAGGTGCTGGAACAGCTGCTGGAGCTTTCCGAAACGCTCTTTTCGCTGCGCACGCGTCTGCACACGCTCTCGGCCAACGCTGAAGACGACGATACCGTTGATACGCCGACGACACGCAAGCGCAAGCGCGACTTTGACGTCACCGTGCCCGAGGACGTCGAGGAGGCCGAGTCGACATGGAGCCAGATCCGCTCGCACGACCAGATCGATGCGGTCATGCACGATGTTGCAGCCTTCTCTGCTGCATCCGAGCCGCATCGCAGCGGCGTGTTGGACAAGTGGAGTCTCAAGGTGACCTCGGCCGCTGCAGCTGCATCGGCCGCGTCGAACGGCAACAAGTTCACTCAGCTGCGTGCGGTCAATCAGACGCCATCCACGCAGATCGCAGCAGCACTGGCAGGTGATGGTCTCGAGCGCCTCGTCGCACGCACGCGTGTGCTGCGTACCGAATCCGAAGGGGCGCATAAACTCGGCCGCACTGTCGGCGCGGACGAGGTTGACGTCGAAGTATTCGACGACTCGGACTTCTACTCGGCACTTCTCAAGGAGCTCATTGAGCGTCGATCCGGCGTCGTACCCAGCGCTGACGGTACTACGGCAGCCATGATGCTCTCGGGCTTGAGCGGCAACAAGAAGAACAAGCCCGTCGTGGACACGCGTGCGTCCAAGGGCCGAAAGCTGAGGTACGAAGTGCACGATAAGATCGTCAACTTTATGCCCCCCATTCCGGACCGCATAAAGTGGGGCACCGACCAGATCGATAGGCTCTTCAGACAGCTCGCTTCCAGCTCCATCGGCGTCGTCCCCGACTCGAACGTTGTCGAGGATGTGGCGGGCGATGCAGATGCAGCCGTCGACGGCCAGCCTGATCTTGCCGGTCTTCGCGTGTTTGGATAGACTGCCACCCGCATTGCATGCAATTTCATCATCTTGTCACGATCGCCACAAACAACACATGAACAAGCTGTACGAGCGAATCATCACAAGGGACATACTGAGACAAGGAAAAAGGCGCACAACAGAGCAAAAGAAAGGTATAAGCTAGTGGCGGAAAGCCGTACGAAAGCGAAATTGGATCGGGACGGAGGGGGATTACGATGCGACCGACTTGACGGCCTTTGCGGTTCCGATGGTGGTTGAGTTGACCTTGGTGGCAAAGCGGAGCGAGCAGAGCGATTCGTTGAGGTGCGCCGCCATGGGGCTGAGCGCGAGCAGCATGAGCGTCTTGGAGTTGCCGCCGAGCGAGTTCTTGAGCAGCCAGGTGAGCGTCGAGTTGCGGTACGGCACGTGGTTGGCCGTCTTGTTCTGTCCGAGCGCCGAGATGACATCGGCGAGGCTCGAGAGCGACTTGTTGATCGACTGCGCCTCCTTGAGACGCACGGGATCCTTATCCGACCCGGAGTTGGCCAGACGCTCCGAGCCGGCCAGATCGACCAGGCTCAGCACCGCATCGCAAGCTTCCATGGTGGTGGTGTTGTGTCCGCGTACGCGCAGCATAAACACCGAATGCGAGCGCGAACTGCGCTCGTTCATCAGCGTCGCCGCCACCTGTCGGCGCTTCTTGGCCTTGTCCAGCAGCGCAAACACGTGCGCCGGCGAGTCGAGCGGCACCACCACCGTATCCGACACACTCGTGCGACCCTTGTCGTGCTTGATCTCGTGCTTGGCCTTGTCCACCTCGCTCTTGCCCAGCAGATCGTTGATGTTGTCCAGGTAGATCTCGAGCATGGAGCCTTCAAAGTCGTATCGCCACCCCTTGTCCTTGAGGCTCTCGGCCGTCGACCACAGCATCTGCACGGCACGCGGGATCAGACCCGCACCGGCATCCGCCGCCGGATTGCTGCCCCACCCTGTGATCGAGTCGGGCGCACCTTCGAGCGTGTGCGTCTTGCCCGAACCCGTCTGGCCGTAGGCAAAGATGGATGTGTTGTATCCGTCGAGCACCGACTGGGTGAGGTGTGCGATCTCTTCAAACACGTCCGCCTGCGACGCGCTGGGCTGGAAGACGCGGTCGAAGCTGAAGAGGTGGTTGCGCATGGTCACGGTGCCCGTTGCCGACTCGGCGGCGGCGAGCAGCTCGATCTGGTTCGCCTCGCGTTCGTTGGGGAAGCGGATGGTGGCGAGCGCCTCGGTGCCGTTGTTGGCGTCGTTGTTGCTCGGCGGACGCACACGGCAGAAGACGCGGATGTTGCCGCGCAGCTCCTGCACCTCGTTGTGCAGCTTGCGACGCAGACTCTCGGCCTCGCGCAGCTCGTTCTCGAGATGCGCGTTGGCGGCCTTGGTCTCGGCAACGTCGGCGTCCATGCCGGCGATCCTGGAGCGCAGAGTCTCGATCTCGTCCTGGAGCACCTGGATCTGGGAGCGGAGGGCGGTGTTGGTGCTCTCCATGGTCAGATGGCTGGTGCTCTGTTGGTTGAGCGTCGCCTTGAGTGCGGCTACGGTCTCGCGCTCCTGCTCGAGCTCGGTCTCGAGCAGACGCTTCTCGCGGTTGAACTTGGCGGTGAGCTGGAGCATCTCGTCGTCGGCGAGCGTGCGGCGGCGCTTGATCTCCTCCTGCTTGGACTGGGCAATCTTGCGCTGTTCTAGCAGATCCTCTTCGAGCTGGCGCACCTTGTCTTCCTGAGCGAGGCGTTCCGAGCGCTCCTTGTTCCATTTCTCTTCCGTCTTTGTACGCTCGAGCTCGAATAACTCGGCCATCGAGGCGAGGCGTGATTCCATGGCGTCCATACGCGAGGGGTCGACATCGCCCGAGGCGGCGGAGCCAGCGCTACCATTGCTGGTACGGGAGGCAGCTGCTGCTGCGACTGCTGCGTTTGTGCCCGGACGCAGCCGTGTGACGCTGGTAACGCCTCGTCTGGCCGCAGCGCTGGGAGCCACCTTGGATGCGCTGACGGAGCGTGTTGCTGCGGCTGCGGCTGGTCTGTTGGTGGTGTTGGTCATGGGAGCGCGCGGAAGTGTGAGGCCGGCGGAGGCAGTGGTGGCGGTGCGACGAGCGGGAACAAATCTGCCATTGTCGGCAGTGCTTATGGACCGTGTTGCCGCCACTGTGCGTGCAGCACCGGGCTCTCTGAGCTTGCTGGGACCGGCCGCAGCTGGCAGTGTTGCCGTAGAGCGCTGGCGTTTGACCGACTGAGGAACCGGGATGCTCGACATGATGGCCAGCAGTGGTGTGGTGAGATGGTGGATGTAATGGAGAGGCGGCTAGGCGTCTTGCGACCACGGTAGGCGCTGGACGTGCTGGACGTGCTGGACGTGCT